TCGTATCCGGGCCTCCATCGACGCGACCTCAATTCGACGCCCTGTGCGGCCATTCAAACGGCCCGCGATACCACAGCGTATCGCGAATCTCATCAGGGAAAAGAACAGAGCCAGACGAACAGCACGACGAACTGGAGAACAGGACGACCGGACTGCAGCGAACCGCCTCCAATGGGAAGTCCGGCGAGCACTGCTCAATCTTAGGAACGAGCAGTGGGAACAACGACTAGAATCCCTGAACACCGTGGACGGATCGACCTGGAAAATGGCCAAAGCGCTGAGAAGCGACAAGCGGCAACTTCCACCGATCCACAGCGCGAACAACGGCATCGTCTTCACAGAAGAGGACAAAGCCGCCGCCTTCGCTCACAGTCTGGAGAACCAATGCCAGACGAACATCGACCCTGATGCAGATGACGAGCACCTGGACCTCGTCGAGGAAACCGTCGAAGAAATTCGAATGGCAGAACCCGACGAAGACGACCAGATCCGCGAAGTCCATCCCGACGAAATCCGCGAAATCATCCGACTCCTCAAACCCAGGAAAGCCCCAGGCCCAGATGGCATCCCGAACAAAGCATTGAAGAACCTCTCCGACGAAGCCATCGTCGCACTAGCAGGTATAATTAATGCAATGTTTAAATTCCGTCTTTTTCCAGCTAGGTGGAAAGAAGCCCACGTCATTTTCATCCCGAAACCGGGGAAAAATCACATTTTCCCGGAAAATCATCGACCCATCAGTCTCCTCTCGTCCGTGGGGAAGATCGCTGAACGTGTGATTCGGAAACGGCTAGCTGAGTTCGTCAACGAACGAGGCGTAGTCCCCGATGAACAGTTCGGTTTTCGCCCCCAACACTCAACCTCCGAACAACTCCTCCGAGTAGTCGAATTCGCCGCAAAATCAATTGAATGGAAACAATTGACTGGCGCGGTGTTCCTCGACGTTGCGAAGGCTTTCGACACCGTCTGGCATGATGGACTTGTTTACAAGCTTCACCAAGCAGGCGTGCCGTTGGCGATGGTGCAGCTCATCCAATCTTTCCTGGATTCCCGCACGTTTAAAGCACGCATTGGGCACGCTTTATCTGCGGAGCATCCAATTAGCGCAGGAGTCCCCCAGGGCTCAGCGCCTTCCCCGCTCCTGTACGCGGTTTTCACCGCGGACATACCCAAACTCCCCCGAACTAGCCTTGCGATCTACGCGGACGACACGGCTATCCTTACGCGCTCCAAAATGCCGCACCTCGTAACCTCCTACTTACAGGAGGCCGTGGATGCGCTGGAGGAGTGGTGCAAACGATGGCTCATTACAGTCAATCCAGAAAAGAGCACTGCGCTTCTTATCTCGAAAAGACGTATTGGGCCTGAAGGAAACGTCACGATGTTTAACCGGGTCATCCCTTGGCGGAGCCAAGCAAAATACCTAGGTGTCATCGTCGACAAACGGCTGTCCTTTATCCCTCATATTGACTACATCGTGGCCAATACGAACAAGATAAAGGGTTCGTTGTCTGCGCTGATCGGAAGGCGCAGTAAGGTGTCGATCAGGAACAAGTTGTTGCTGTATCGCGCCATCATCCGCCCCACCATGTCCTATGCTTCAGTGGCCTGGAGCTATGAACCCTCCAAAACCCAGTTCCACCGTCTGGAAGTCATCCAGACGAAAATTCTCCGACAGGTTTTCAAAGCCCCATGGTTCGTCAGAAACGCCCAACTGCTCCGAGAGGCCAACCTCCCGCCGCTGAAGGAGTTCCTGCACGAAGTCGCCCTCCGAGCCTTCAGGAAAGCTGAAGAGCACCCCAACCCCCTGGTGCGAGAAGCCGTCGACTACGAGTTCGACGAGGAAGCCCCCCCCAGTCGCAAGCGGCCCCGTAGGGCGCTGCTTGAAGACCGAATCGGCAAGTAACACCACCTGCCGTCTCCACCGACCGGCCTTTCCCGGCCTTCCCAACTTCCCGACCGCATCGCCTCCAAGGTGTTGCACATCTAACGCCAGCGCATAGCGCATTTTTTCTGTTTCAGATCTCTCCACCGGCCGCAGGACCGCGAGGAAGAGCCGAAGATGGGGGCCAACTCCTAGGCAATCAATAGCTCAACCGAGATCGGTAGCGCAGCCCCCGCTGTGTCTACCGGGATGCGCGTTATGGGTGTAAGGGACAATGTCCTGGTACCCGAGCAGAAGAAGGAGGGGTTTTAGGGCGGTAACCATTCCCCCAGTACCACCGTAGGCCGCAGAAGAGGCCTACGAAGAGGCCTACGGAGGCCTACGCAGACCACCATTACGGTGGTCTGCGTAGACATTTCCCCTCCACCAAAAAAAAAAAAAAAAAAAAATTTTCAGGCAGATGGAACGCCACCATCTCCACCTTAAGGGCTGCACTGTCTCGGTCCCCTTCTGGTGAGCACCGTACAGATGGAACTCCACCATCTCCACCTTAAGGGTTGCATTGTCTCGGTCCCCTTCTGGTCGTTTCCAGGGCTGTACTGTGTTACGGTCCCCTGCGCTGCTTCGAGATCATCACTAGGGCTGCAGTGTTTTACGGTCCCCTGCGCTGCTTCGAGATCTTCACCAGGGCTGCACTGTTTTACGGTCCCCTGCGCCGCTTCGAGATCATCACCAGGGCTGCACTGTTTTACGGTCCCCCTGCGCCGCTTCAACGACGTCATCTCCAGGGTCGCACTCTCTAGGTCCCCTGTGCCGCATCGCCGACGTCGTCATCTCCAGGGTCGCACTCTCTAGGTCCCCTGTGCCGCATCGTCGACGTCGTCATCTCCAGGGTCGCACTCTCTAGGTCCCCTGTGCCGTATCGCCGACGTCGTCATCTCCAGGGTCGCACTCTCTAGGTCCCCTATGCCGTATCGCCGACGTCGTCATCTCCAGGGTCGCACTCTCTAGGTCCCCTGTGCCGCATCGTCGACGTCGTCATCTCCAGGGTCGCACTCTCTAGGTCCCCTGTGCCGTATCGCCGACGTCGTCATCTCCAGGGTCGCACTCTCTAGGTCCCCTATGCCGTATCGCCGACGTCGTCATCTCCAGGGTCGCATTCTCTAGGTCTCCTGTGCCGCACCGCCGACGTCGTCATCTCCAGGGTCGCACTGTCCAGGTGCCCTGTGCTACATACATCGCCGCCGTCATCCCCTACGACGCTCTGAGTCCCAGGAGCCGCCACCATCCCCGACGAGAATTGCCACCACTTCGAGAACCCATACCCTACTATTGATTTGTATTGTTCTTAATATTAATAAACCGCTGAGCTACCACAAATCTGTCGCCCTAACGTGTGGCTTCGAACAAGGAAGGATACCACAATCTGGCTCCCTACCGTGGGGCCTTGAAGAAGAGAAAATACTACAAAATTATATTTCAATAAATTTTCAGTAGCGAGTTATCGATATACTTAATTGTATTTACATCATAAAATTTATTTATTTTCAAACGTCATATAACTGACACTTATATGACGTTCTTACCGGGGTTTAAGTGTCATTTCTATGACACCGTGTTTGAGCGGCACATAAGTACTACTTATACTCCGCCGGCGTATAAATAAAACATTTGTACTCCACCGGAGTATAAATATATGAAAATCATAGTGGTTGTCAACCATAGTAACCATGGTAAGTGAAATCTAGGCAATTCCTTAATGAAGCAAGAAGGTAGGAAATAATCATTTCAAAAGAAGATTAATCGTTTGAAAATAAAATATTGTATTTCATTCGGAGTCGTATGGACTTAATCGTCCATACTCCGTCCACATAAAGTATCACTTAAACTCCTAATAAAATAAATATCTATTATTTTAATTCATACTATGTCAAGTTTGACGTTTTACTGGATTCGAACGAGTCCGGTAAAATCAAAAAAACGGACAAGTCCGATAAAATTGAGCCAAAAAGGACAAGTGTTCCATTGCCGGAAGCGGCCACTGACCCTTTTGGGTCTCTTTTGCTTTACCTGTTATTGTAAATACAAATGTAAATTTAGTACTTCTGTAACCGTCCTGTATTAAACATCGAAACCGAACGCTGTCTATTATTTCCCACGCAACAAAACAAAGGTCCTTCGAGCAATATCAAAGTACAATTCGTTATTACATTGTCGTATCAACCAGATTACAAAAAACACTGGTAGGACGAGCCGAGTTGCACAAACATTGGCCCTTCGAGACGGATTGCACAAAACATTGGTCCATCGAGTCGGATTATACAAAACAATAAGTCCTGTAACGTGTTATACTATGTGTTTAAACATATGATGCTGACTTGCACGAATAAACAAATTAAAACATTTGCCAAACAGCGGTTGCTAACGATGTCACAAAAAGTGACTCGATTTGAACTTTTTCTCAAAATAGTAATAATTTTATCGAATAAAAAAATATGTTGATAGTATGAAATAAAATCCATAACGACAAACGTCCGGTAACTCTTTTCGCAGTACTCGTTTCGAAATTAAAGACTCTGCTACCTACTCGTCCTGAAACATCCCACTCGTACTGTAAAATTTGAGCTATTTAGAATAACTTTAATAACTATTTATGTTTTCATCAACACTAACAAGTATTTAAAATAACAAGTAATAATTTGTTTGTATTGTTTATTCATTATAATAATTCCATTTATTTACCAGAAACTTTTAAACGAAATAAAATCTAATCGAATAGAAATAACGGCAAAGTTGTGTCATCTGGCAACGTTGTAAATTATCTAAATGCTGACTATGAGATTTTTACACATTTTTTTCGACGCCCTCTATCGAGTGGTAGATTTATTAAATGTATTGTTGGTGTGATTTGTGTTACCTATGCGCGTGATTGGTGTCCAAGCTTTTCGCCGGCGTTTGACGGCCGACTGTTGGTGCGCCATCTCTTGTTCGCCGGCCGTTGGCCTGTTCGCTCGAAACAATAGCATGGGTCTATCTATATGTATTTAATCAATGTTTAGTGGAACACGTCCTTAGGTTAGAAGCTTGCTTTTTTGGAATCACCAGACGAGATGTGATGAACCTTGCATATCAATTGGTGGAGAAAAACAAAATATACCACAGATTTAACAATACTCTACAACGTGCTGGAAAAAAATGGTATTACAATTTGATTAGAAGACATCCCGAACTATCAGTTCGATTACCAGAAAAAACATCCATGGCTCGGGCGAAGGGTTTCAACAGGAAAAATGTTACAGACTTTTTTAACATATATGAACGTATTGTAGATGAAAATCAGTTTGACGCCGCTAGAATATACAACTTGGATGAATCAGGTTTTTCAACCGTTCGGAAAAAACCACAGAAGATTTTAGCAAGAAAAGGAAAAAAACAAGTTGGAGTAATCTCAAGCGGCGAAAGAGGAGTCAATACAACAATTGTTTGTTGTTTCAATGGTACGGGAGTTTATGTCCCACCAATGTTCATATTTAAAAGAATGAGAATGCCAGAATCTCTAAAAAATGGCGCACCGCCTGGAAGTCTTGTTGAAGTATCGGAAAGCGGATATATAAATTCTAATTTATTTACCAAATATCTGCAACATTTTGTTAAAACAATCAAACCTACAAAAGACCAAAAAGTATTGTTGCTATTAGACGGCCACGCAACCCATACAAAAAATTTGGATGCATTAGAATTAGCAAGAGACCATGGGATTATTCTATTGCAATTGCCTGCTCATGTCACCCACAACATGCAGCCTCTTGATGTCGGGTTTTTTTCGCCACTCGAAAAAAGATATGTTATAAATCAGGAAACATGGTTGCGAAGCAATCCGAGATGTGTCATTACTCAATTTCAAATAACAGCATTACTTGGGGAAGCGTACTGCGAAGCCGCCACCGTTGCCAACGCTATTGGTGGATTTAAAGGTTCAGGCATTTGGCCTGTTAGCCGACACGTTTTTAGTGATGTTTATTTTGCAGCAGCAGATATATTAAACGAAAGCGAAAATGAAAATGATACGGTTACAAGAAATGTAACGCCCATCGCTGAAATTGGGGGTACCGAAAATGTAAGGGAAACTACAGTTAGTCAAGATTTCACGATTGATGAGCACTCTAATCCAAACAATAAGACTGAAAAACAGCTGATTACTGAAGTAGAGAACAATACGAAACTAGAGACTGAGGAATTAAGACTTGATGATGAAACTGCCACTCTGCATTATTATACACCTCTAGAAATTTCACCTATGCCCAAGATAATTAAGCAAACAACAAAAAGAAAAAGAAAGACGCAAAAAACTACAATATTAACAACGACACCTTACAAGGAACAGTTGGAACAAAAGAAAAAACAGAAGACTAAGAGCAAATTTGTTGATGAACTTAAAGAACCCAAAGCAGGTTCATCTGGTTTGCGCAAGGACAAAATACCAAATACAAAACAAGACGTTATTATAGAGGCCAATGTGCAAGAATAGTACTGCTTCCTCTGCGAGGAAACAACGCTGGAAGACATGATTCAGTGCAAAAAGTGTGGATGCAAAAAATGGGTTCACGAAACATGTTCAGGAGCTGAATCGCGCACAAAGCGTTATTTATGTGATTATTGTACCTAATTATAACAGTATTGTTCAGTTTACATGTAGTTCTAAAACGTTTATTTTTGTTATTAAAATTTAATATTGTTTTTTTTTCACATTTTAAATAAAATTATGTTCATTTCATGCATTTTTACCAAGAAGGTCCAATTTAAGAACCGGTGGTCCAATTCAAGAATATAGTGGTCCAATTTAGGAACCCAGTCTCCTATTTTGGACCACTTGCAGAGCTTCAAAAATTATTTTTTTTAACCAATTTGGATGTTTCAAAAAATTCTAACAAAATTACCAAACATTGAAAACATGTCAAAATTAATGGCTCAACACTAGATAAGTTAATATCGTATTGCATTTTGGTTTTAACTGAAAAAATCTGCCACTAGGTCCGAATGAGGGAACTTTCCCCTAATTAGTTTCAGCGCCAACATTCATACGGTCGCGTTCTTCATTTCTAATATGCACATCTAAAGAATTCATTATTTGAGTATATAATTTTGAAACTGTAGCAGGCCCCAAATCTATATATAAACTATGATCATCAAAACGTTTACTATAAGAAAAAGGAGTATCAACCAGAGTGCCTAAGATGGACCTCTTCGCTAATTCACGTTGAGCTTTCACTGAAAAACCAATAGATTTCAAGGTATTTAAAACCTTAGAAAGTCTAACAGCATCCGCCCACGGATGAATCGCGAACATCCGCACTTTATATGGATACACCTCATAACTCATCTTGACTCACTCTCTTTTAACCAAACCAAATTAAATTTATTTTCTATATCCTCACCACGCAATACAAATTTACAAGTTTCAAAATTTAAATCTATAACTTTAAACAAACAATAAATTTCATCAAAAAGAAATCTCTCACCCTCTGATATTTTCCTTTCTCCCTTTAACAACAAATTTAAATCACCAATTCTATTATATTCATTAACACAATTAATTTCAAACGCACGATATTTTCTCAAAAATTTCTTTAAATTACGCCTAGGAGAATAAACAAAAGTATCAGGAGCAATACTACGTTGATAAATATAAATTAACTGTTCTATATAAACTTTTATATCATTCAAATCAAATTTATTTTTATTAACATTAACATACAAAATTTCCAAATTAGATAAATATGTCCATGACCGCCAGTAAATAAAATTTTAATATATCACCCTAATCCAGTTTTGGTCTACTGGGATCTCTCAATACTATATCACCCTCATTAAAATAATACAATTTATGAAATTCCTCCCTATCATTAATTATTTTATACAAACATTCTAATAAGTCACCTAGATCACTTAATTCAACCCATAAATAACGTTCTCTAACAGCCAACAAAAGTTCTTCATCAATCACTAAATTTATATATTCCTTAACTAAATCAATTAAAGATACTCGATACTCCTCGACATGTTCAGAATTAACCAAATCACGTCTACCCAACTTAGTTAAAATTTTAAAAGGATCAGGTACAAATTTCCAATGACCTTTACAATTTAATAAAATTTTTGAACAAAAATAACTTTGATTAAAAAAAAAAATTTTGATTCTAAATTAAATAAATTACCACAGAAAAAATTTGTATCTTCCTCTAAATCTCTTCCAATTAATAATGAGTGGGGAATCGAGCAAATTAGCTTCTAAATTTGTGCGTAAATCTTTGGATATTCAGTTTAATATTGCGAAAATTGTTAAGACTCAGTTAAATCGTGAAATTACTCTATTTACTACTGATTATACTAGGTTTAGTAACGCTACGGCGGGCACAGTCAAAGGTTATAGGTATCTTAAGACTCAGGAGGGTGAGATAGGAGTTTTAAGTGAAAGTGCCCAATTTGCATTTACGACCACAAATACCTATAATCAATTCTTAGGCGATAGGGAAGGTGTGAAATTAGATCTTATTAATGTAAAGTTTTAATATGCCTGTTTGCACTAAATGTGGTGTGGTTGCTAGTGGTGCTTGGTTTTGTAGAAGTGGGTGCGCTTGTTGCACGTGCAATAATGCAAAATCAGCTACTACTACTTTGCGGAAAAGAAGTCGTGAAATAAGGCCGCCTAATTTGACATGTGCTTGTTGTTGTGTTAAATAATGTGTTGGGCGCCAATTTTGTGTGACGTCACTCCCGTCTGACGTCAACTACAACACCGGCAGCTAGATTTCATCGGGGCAAGTCCGTGGATCTTTATTATTTGGGGTGGTGACAATATTTTGGGCGCCAGTCGACAGAATGTCGACGAGAAAATGAAAAAAATAAAATTTAGACGAAGAGGGAAGAAGAGGTAGTTAAATGACAGAAACAACACCTACTCGCTGATATGTATATAATTTTGAAACTGAATTTCCGAAATGGCTTACTCTAAATAGGCAATGACATGGCGCTTAAGCGTGTAAACGACCCTTAAGATTTACAAAGTGGGTAAAAACAATCTTTACCTTGATTCTCGATTACCTTATGCGCTTACGCCACGAAAACTGATATTCCCAATGCCGCCACTCTTGTATGTTATAATAAATTTCTTAACTGATAATAAATACTGGGATCGAAACCATAAATAGGTAAGTGCCTTCTAACAATTATAGATTAAAGCTACGAATTAATAACTACTACAGCAAAACCATAACTTAACAATCATAACAATTATAATAATCACATTTTGTGGACCTCTTTGCCACCATAAACCATAAATTGTACAGTAAATATCTCCAAATAGTTGTTAGGGGATGGTATCTCGGGCTAATCGGGAAAAAAGGCAGCTACCACATCCCACGGCTATTTCAAATTGACTCTCTTGACTCCAGAGCCTGGTAGGGAGTCACCAATATGACAGCAATGACAGCACCAAGATATCAGACGTACCATCGGCCCATAAGAATCGGGATCTCAACGGAACCAGTCCACACAAAAGCAGGGGCGTATAGCAGCAACACTATGATGGTTCGCACTCTGACTTCATGGTCAAAATTACAGCAAATGAGACATAAAAAAAAGGACCTAGAGAATTCCTAATGATTAGAAATCTATATTAATTTCACAAAATCAAAATGTTACCTAGGTGTTATTGGTCCTTTTTAATCTCATAATTTTAGTGTAGAATAATTGTAAGATGGTATTATTAATAAATTTCAGCCCACAGAATTACTCGCCACCATTTTCAAATCTTTATCAGAACCCCTCTCTTTTTGTGTGTCTTTTTCCGCTGATCCTCGCGCCTTATCAATTACGCGGCCAAGCGTCATGTCACAGAGAAATTTCAAATTAGTGCGAAATTAATGTAACAATTACTTCGTGATTGTTACAAGCAAATAACTTATAAAAAATTGTACTGCATGAATTTATACTTATTCAAACTGTGGGTATAAGATTTAACATTATTTTCTGTTGCAATTTCATTTGCTAGCTGCAACAGTACGGGAACAACAATTTCATATCTTGGTGCTTCATCACTCCACTAAATGTTTTCATCAACATTCAATTTAATAGAATTCTTTATTCCTTTGAGTGCTCATTTTTAGGGAAACACACCTGTTCTTCTTCATTTCATATTTCAGGAAATTTTAAAATGATAATAATAATGTTGATTTCACAACAAAAACTAAATATGGAATAAATTTTGCAACATGAATCATACAAATCCAAAATAAATATGTAGATACTAGATTATTAAAATTTGAATGTTCGCCTGTTGCGGTTGCGGGTATATTATTACAGCATTTTCTAAAATAAATTTGGATCATTGTGTTACGTATACTAACGTGACCAATACTTGTATTTGTATTCTCCTATGTATTGTTATATGTAGAGAGCGGATTTTATGAAATTTGCATATTAGTTATTTTTTGCATATAAGTCTTGATATTTAATATCTGAACGAATCATGCTAATTAAAAGTGAATACAGCTACAAAAAAATTGCATATTTGCATATATTGGCCTTCTGCTGCATATTTCACGTAACGGGTGCATATTTTGCATTTTTATCAATTTTTGTGCTAATTTGAAAAAAAAATTGTCATTCTATCGGAATGAAAAACGAAATTTCATGAATCATATTGCAAATATTGCCCTGAGCTTCAAATAACTAGTAAAGGTTTGGGTTTTATGGTAGTTTGGAGAAACCACCGGGTGTTAAGCCATTCTTCCAAGTAAATTCGGGCTCTAATTACTTTTGGAAATACCGTTCATTCCCAATATTTTTGTTAGTTACATAAGTGTATTAATGGTATCTTTTATGGTGGTCGAAGGGACGTTACCCTATTATTTTTCATCGTGAGTTTGCATTGACAACATTTAAAGGGATACCGGTGGTGTGTCAATATGTCGACGATAACTCTAATGAATTTATGGATTAAACCTTTTCCTTAACTTTTTCTTCAAGAAGGAACTCTGTTTTGTCGCGCCTGCTCTAAACCGGTAAGGATTTTTATACATCTGTGGACGTAGTACGCACTTTTTCTACTGATAAAAGCATATTTTAGAATCACCGGAAAAACTGTTACCAAATAGTAATTAAATAGTCGATTACTATTTTTCAATTTGTTCTGTTTATATTTATTTTTACTTCCCGAGCGTAAGGAAAGGAAGTATTGTAATCGAGTCCGTCGGCCGAGTCTCTACTTTTACGTTTTCTCGATCATTCATGATCCCTAGAGGACGAAGAAATAGGTCTCCAATTCCCGTTGTCTGTCCGTCTGTCTGTCCGTCTGTCTGCCGTCCCGGATTTTTATTAGACAGATAATCTCCGAAAGTACTGGACCGATTGTTGTGAAATTTTGTATTTATATTAGGAATATCATGTAGATGGTAAAACGCTAACTAAAATTTGTCTAATCATCCCCACCACTAATGCGATGACGTCAAAATTGTACATAGCAAATGG